TGATGATGATGATGATGATGATGATGATGGAAAGTAAACGAGAACCTAAACTTCGGAACAGGTGATTACGAATTGAAATTTACTACTTACATAATATTGGGTTTTGTATTATTAAAAAATTTAACTCAAAGTTAAAGTCTCTGTTACGAATAACATTTCTTATTTTTAATGTTTATAAGGAATTATCAGAAAATTCCTTGTGTTAGGTAATCTGTTATATTTATCTATAAAATCTAACATTTTATGATACAACGGACCAATATTATAGATATATACATGCTTATGTGTTTACTCCTTGTGCACTTTTTTTTTTAATTAATCAACCGTAAAATCAATAGTAAAATCATGACTTGCACTTGTATTCACATGTACATATATCTGAAATTTCAAAAATTAAGTTGCGATTAGTTTACCATCATCTTATAATCGAATAAGTCATGAAGCCGCGATTTCGATGTTTAATGTTTTGTATTCTCAAATATTAATTAACAAATTGATGAAACATAGGTAATGCAAGGAAATCCAGCATTGAATTAAGAAATCACCTGTGCAAAATAACACCCAATAGTGCTAAATATTTTTCAAATTCTTTTTATCTTATAAACTTGTACTAATTTTAATATGCTTTTCTCTGACAGTTTAGATGAATGAATTTTTCTCCATGAATCCAAATGGACTGATATATTGTACTTTGTACATGAAAGAATAAAGAAGAAGAAGAAGAAGAAGAAGAAACAACATAATACACATAGGCGTCAAGTAGACATGGAACAAAAAAGGGTTAAACGTAACCCTTAAGACGTGTAACGAAAGTTCATGTCCTTTTGTAAGCTAGTTATCCAATAAATTATTTTTCAAGGATAAATCATATCGAGAATAAATATTAATTAATTAATATTTTCATTTGCAGATGTTATTCATGGCTGAATCCAAGAATTGAGTGACCAATTAATGACAATAATCTAACTTTCAAAAATAGAATTCTAAAGTATGCCGAATCTTTGCTGATGACCATAGCTGAGAAAGTAAAAAGGTGCTCAAGTTCATATTTTTTATTTATTAACTGTAGTTATGATATTTAAGTAAATTATGTAAACTTATAAGTGTTGTTTGCATATAGGAAGACATCCTAACATTAAAAAAGTGGAAAATATCAAAATATCTGGAAATATAACGATTGTGTTATTATACCTTCTAGTACGGTCGAGGATCGGAAATATTATAGAATTTCTTCAATAATATATTTTTGATTAGAGTTACAAAGATTTAAAATTGATAATAAAAGATTTAAAAAAACTAAAAGAATCGAGAATCAAACAGTGAAAATCAAGCGCAAAGTGCAGTTTTGTTCGCAAAATAATGTTCTTTCTAAATTTTCCAGGAAAGTTAGAATACTGATCCCACGACCTACGATTGTTTTTGAGTCATATCCGATATTAATGCAATTGTTATCTAAGAACGATGTCACTAGCGGGTGTAGTGTCACTCCTAGATCGCACATACACTAATAAGAATTATTTTCAATAAAGTACAATGTTCTTTAAAGCTAAGAATAACTTACTTTTCCTATATCTAAATCATAATATCTTTTTTCACATCATTTAAAAATGTTCCTGATAAAAAGTAATCGGTTGTCAAAAGCTGCACATGCACAATATGATAAAAGCAATCGACTCTTAAGAGCTGCACATGTATAATATATCAAAGAATTCATTGAAATAGTTTAACATAGATTACTTGAGTATAAATGCCGCGCGTGAAGAAGCAAAATCAAATGTGTAAAGTAGAAATAAGTACTATGGACTTGCGGACACGTGAAATCGGGCACATTATGCAGCTATAATATGCAGCTAAATTTAAATAGATCTTGTGTTAGTGAAATCAATCGCGTAACAGGAAGGAACGTTTTTCATTAAACAAAAATTTTCAATGCCATGTTGACTTCTTAACACTGCATATGAAGAATCAGTGAATAAAGAAAGGGATATTTCAAGACTTCACTTCATATTTTTTTTCTTAACGCACGTTAAAGGTAAAAATACTTGGTGAATATTTCATATTTAATAAATTATTGATCAGGGAATTATTTAGTCAATTATTTACTTAGTAAATTATTTAACCGGGATAAAATTGATTGGAACACGAACACTCATTTGCACAAATATTGAGAAAGATGAGTTTAAAAGTTTTATGATTATATTTTACGCATTTTTATACAGATGAACGATGTTGCTTAGAATAAAATCGGTTATTTGTCTTGCATATTCACTTCAGAAATCGTTTTTTTGAAGGCTTTTTTCCAAATAGTAAAATTCAATTAAAATTTATTACAAAGTTTATGCTATTTGATATTTCGGTAGCAAAAAAAAAAAAAAGATAGTTTTGCCCTGCGTTTTCATAACTGTGACCGCGAAAATAATATTACTTATTAAAAATACAAAAAGAAATTGATATTTCATTCCGCTGAATATAACGTTAGTACGGTATCTGATTCAATTTTAAAGTGTGTAGATTTTTACATACTAAAACAAAAGTTGGAAAAATAATTGGTTACCATGTTAAGAAAATTTATTATTTATTTACATATGTCGTTCGTACATGAAGTGTACGCAAGAAAATTAAAAAGTTGTATCTTAATCTAATATTGAATTTGATCTGGTAAATGTAATTAAAAATTGTATTGATCACAAACAGGATTTTCTTTCTTAAATTGAAGCTTCTAGTTAGGCAGAGGAAGGGAATGAATAATTTAAAATGGGTTATGTACATATTGATGGTCATATTCTTTTTTATAATGCAATAGTACATGTACATTTTACAGTTGCAATTTTTTTTTTATGGAAATATTCCTTTTTTTTGCATATATCGAATCATTTTCTTTATTTTTTTTTTATATAATACACAAAATTAAAGTAAAATATTCTTTTAAATTCATTAATGTTATACTAACATTTTTTTACATAAAATAACTAAAGGATTCGATGCAGAGGATCAAAGGAAAAAAGAAAAGGTTTTTATTTAAAAAAAATAGCGCAATTGCAAAATGTACGTGCATTGTTGTACTTGTATAAAAATAAAAAATCTTCAGTGATTGATTTAATTTATTTATTATCTTTTTTAAATTTATAAGTAATTAGTAATCTTACACTTGGTAGTAATAATCTTGTTTAATCATCTTAGTAGTAAAAAATAATTAATTTTGCATTTATAAAAAAGAGGGACTCGACAATATGTTTCTCTCTCTTTTTGTTTTCTTCTCTTCCGAGAATTTTAAATATCGACTTTTGACCAGCTCCTCGATACAGATAAATACGACATATTACGTTGTACGTAACGGAGTGATTCATCACCCCACTACCTGTTCGCTTTTATGTTCAAAGTAGAAGTGCTGTAACCTTTGTAGAGGACGGTGGTGAATTTTTAGGCAGTTTCGCTCGGCGAGAAAAAAGAATGGCACCGACGTTCAGCAAATTTATGACCAGACGCAACGTGGCTGGTGTTTGTGCTTTAACTGCGTTTATATGGATTTTAAAAAGAAGAAACCGGAAACAAGCCGCGAAATACAGGTGAAATCTCTGTGCAATGTTTATTAGCAGTTTATTCGTGATGCTATGATATTAAACATGTTCACTTTTCCCGTAGAAATGCTTGGCCCACTAATGACATTCAGTATGTTATCAAAGAGGTAAGAGAAAAATGTTAAGGGATTTTTATAAGTATATGTATTTTGATCATCAAATGTACACAGTGGTTCAAATACATATAAAATATAATTGTAAAAATTCTTTTCCCATGTATAACATGTATATCGTATAAAAAAATTGTTTGCAACATACAGTGTGATAAAACTGTTATAATTAAATTGATTTGTCAAATAAGTTTCATATTACAGTGTTAATAACATATCAAAACAAATGCAAGTTTTGTACGATCAATATTTAAATGAATATTCTCAGTGAGTTACTGTAAAAATGATCTTTCTTTTTTCAGGAAGAGAAGCCTAAAATACCGAAAGCTCATGTAAATGCTAGATTCTTTAGACAATTGTATCAATTATTCAAAATTGGTATACCATCGATGGTGTCTTTTGAAATGGGCTTTATTGTGCTTATCGCAGGCACACTTATTCTAAGATCTATCTGTGACTTTCAGATGATAAATATGATCACTGCATTGGATGCGTACGTAATGACATTTGTTTGTTAATTCTGTTTCCATTATGGGGATGTACAAAAATGTGATAGGTTTTGGTACATTGTTCTTTTTTAGGTCGATCCTTAGAATGGACAAGCCTTCGTTTAAAAGAAATCTATTTAAATTCTTATGTCTAATGCCAATGGTAAGTGGAAAAACTTTATGTAGAAGAATTAAAAGTTGCTTTCATAGGCTGCTAATGAAATCTTTTCATTCAGGCTGCCAAGCAGCTTTATTTTCTTACCAATTGGAAGAAATTATTGATATAATCTTCCATGATTATATTTATTTAGATATCTCTTGTGAACAACGTACTGAAATACAGTACATATGAAACACAGTTGAGGTTACGTACAAATATCACACGATATTTGTTGGATCAGTACCTTAAGTAAGTCAAACTCCTTATTTTGTTATTACACTTCTAGCGTGTAAATTAATACAGTTTATAGGATTGATAATAATAATGTTCAGAGGTTTTGAAATAAGGAAAGACAGATTAGAATTCTTTTTGCAGAGGCTTTACTTACTATAAAATGAGCAATTTAGATAGCCGTATAGCAAATCCAGATCAACTTTTAACTACTGATGTTGACAAGTTTTGTGAAAGCTTCATAAACCTGTATAACAATATTGCAAAACCTTTATTGGACATCGGCTTCTACATGTACAAACTTACAATTAATCTTGGTCAAGAAGTACGTAAAATGAAAGTCTTATTAATATAAATATAACATTAATAATAAAATATATATTTATTTTACAGACGCCAATAATAATGCTGTCATATCTTGTTTTTGCTGGTATTATAATAACTTATTTACGCAAACCTATTGGACAAATGACAGTAAAAGAACAACGTCTGGAGGGTGAATACCGTCATATTAATTCAAGGTTAATTACGAATTCCGAGGAAATAGCATTTTATCAAGGAAATAACAGAGAAAAGTTAACTTTGTTAACCAGCTTCCATAAACTTGTATGTTACAAAAAAATATATATTGAATATTAACTAGTCAAGCACAAGTTAACTCTCTACTTCAAAAGTATTTCTTTTGTAGATGACACATCTTCGCAAGTGTCAAGAATTTAAGACTCTCATAGGAATAATTGATAATTTCGTTGGCAAATGTAAATATTTTCCATAAATTTGATAATGTAATTACTTGCCTGTGGCAGTAATAATTTTCAATGTGATGTGTTTGTTTTAGATATGGCGACAATGGTCGGTTTTTATGCAGTAAGCTTACCTTTCTTCATGGAGGACCATGCGCTCTTGAAAACTTCTAATCATCGTTTTAATAGTTATTACACGTACGGTCGTATGTTAATAAAATTGTCAGAAGCTATTGGTAGATTAGTTCTAGCCGGAAGAGAAATGACAAGACTAGCAGGATTGACTGCCAGGGTCACTGAAATAAAGGACGTTCTTGGCGATATAAATTCAGGGAAATACGAACGAACGATGGTTTGCGATTTCAAAGACGAGTCAATTGGAAGTCCGGGCAAAGGAAAGATAGTGAACAAGGATAATATCATAAGATTCGAACATGTACCTCTAGTAACTCCTAATGGGGATATCCTTATCAAAGAACTATCATTCGAAGTTAAATCAGGAATAAATGTATTAGTTTGTGGTCCAAATGGCTGTGGGAAAAGCTCTTTGTTCAGAATACTGGGAGAAGTAAGTTCTTACAGTTTTGTTTTTTTTCTTTTTTTTTTTTTTGAACAGTTTAATTTTACGTTACATGTTTACTCATATTTCGAATGATGTAAAATTGGTTAAAATAGTTGTGGCCAATTTGGAATGGAACAGTTACCAAACCTCCGCGAGGAAAATTATTCTACATTCCTCAACGTCCTTATATGACTCTGGGTACGTTGAGGGATCAAGTGATTTATCCTCATACAAAAACAGAGATGATGAGACGCGGGCAGATGACGGATGGCGATTTAAGAAAATTACTAGATCTGGTTCAATTGGGCCATTTGTTAGAAAGGGAAAATTTCACAAATAGCGAGGGGCAAGCTTGGGATGTTGTAGCTGACTGGATGGATGTTTTGTCCGGTGGCGAAAAACAGCGTATAGCAGTATGAATATTATTTGTCATATGAACGAAACACAAAACCAACCTTCATAACATTAATTACAAATCATTTTTGCAGATGGCTCGTCTTTTCTATCACAAGCCGCAATTTGCAATTTTGGATGAATGTACAAGCGCTGTTAGCGTCGACGTAGAGGACTCGATGTACATGTACTGTAGACAGGCAAATATCACGTTATTCACAGTATCGCATCGACGATCCCTTTGGAAACATCACGAGGTTTGGAAAGAAGTTTTCATTATACATTCAACATTGCATTCGATTCATGTTTATATTTATTTTTAGTATTATTTGCAAATGGATGGAAGAGGAAACTACGAGTTCAAAGCTATTGAACCGGATACAAAAGAATTTGGATCGTGAATTTTCATGTCCCTTGCATCCAATACCTACCACTATGCAAGGGACCGTCGTTTTATGTTCGATTAATTTCGAATAATTATAAATATAAATGTGCAGTGTACAGCGCATGTATGTATGTATTATATGTATTTCTATGTTAAAATCGTTTAGATTCATGAATATTTTATTACTATATACTGTATATTTTTTATATACCGTATTTTTATATATTTGAATATTTTATTACTATATACTGTATATTTTTATATTAATGTCTTTCACAACAAAGAAGAAAAAATGGGAAGAGTAATATAAAATAACGTTAGCGTACACTGCAATTTAGGCCTTAATGCTATTAACTTGTTAAAAAAAAAACAATAACATGTAATTTAAACGTTAATTGTATTAGTATATCGTTCCAATGCTCGCGAAAAAGAAAAAGAGAGAAAGAGAAATATAATATCTTTTATGTGTAACATTAAGTTATTGGTATAACATTTTTGATACTTAGTTTCTCAATATTACATCACATCGTAAAATATTAAAATATCCGACATACGCGTTAAATGCAATCTATAATGTATATGTGTACGTATACAAAGTTATAGTTTAAATCATTTTATACTTTACAGATTAAAAGTAATTATCATGATTTGTTATGTGTAGACCACATTGAATAAACATTGCCAGAACTTATATCGAATTGCTGGACAATAAGAATGTGTAATAAACTCGGTGATGAAAATCGTATTGATATCGTAATCTCAATATCCATTAGGTACCGGACAAGAAATCAAGAGTCGAGTAATGAAATAATTAAATAGTATAAAAGTATAAAATATATTAGAACATCGTACAAAAGTAATCATTATGCTGCAAAATGTCAGTTTCTTTATAACGTTGTATAGGATTTGGGTGGAGGAAAAGATGATAATAAAACGGATTCTTTGAATTCCTTTTCGTAATACAAATTCAATAGAATTCGTATGAAGTATATTAAATATTTAAAAATATCTAAAAAAAAACAGAAAAATGTTATAACAGCATTGATCGAATGAAATAAATTTCTATCATAGATTTCCTTTTTTTCCAATTATTTTGATGAAACATAGATATTTTCACAAAAATTGTGCGATTGGTAGTTCAACTGAGATAAACTTTTGAATCAACTGAGTTGAATAAACTCTCCAAAGTACGAACGAATTGAAAATTATCTTTTCTACATTTAAATTTCCCACTCGCATGAATGGATATCGCTGCGTCCGTCGAATTGGACGCCGCCATGTTGGTTGACCGTTGATCGGTCGGAAAAGCTAGGCCGGGTCTGGGAAGCTAGCAAAAGGTCCGGGCTTTCGACTATTCAGTTGCTAGCGGCTGGTCATAGGGTCTGTACGTTTTGGAACTCCTCCCCGGTGGTTGTGTGTATATACGTGTGTGTGTGTGTGTGTGTGTGTGTGCGCGCGCGAGGAGAGTGCGACCAAGGAACAAAGGCGAAGCATCTCTGCATATTCGACAAAAGGACTGGAATCGAAGAATTTCGTCACACATGTACGCAACGGTATTCAACGCGACCAACAGTGCCAATGTGCTAAAAACGACTCACGAAGGAAACCGATATTTTTCGATACTTAGACATCCTCGTGTGGAATCCCTTTGTAACCACAAGTGAGTCCTACGTACGATATATATTTCAAGGATCTCTCGTACGTTTTCTTTTCTTTTTTTTTTTCTCTCCTTAGATTGGTCTCCACCTCTGTTCGTCTCTCCCACTTCTCCCTTCCCGTCCTGAGGTCTCTCCCCGTGTTGTCGGTGTTTCGCCGCGACGTTCCTCGTGGCGTGAGCGTTCCCGAAGACACCGTGGCCGGACCTTCGGCGACAGCGGTCGTGTGACGCGGACGAACGTGTGTCTCTGGCAGCTAGGACGCCGAGGGACACAGGTGCAGGTGCGGGTGCGGGACTGCATGCACACAGCTAATACGTAGTGGTGGTAGTAGTAGTAGCGATCGGGACGCGAGGACGTGGGCTGGAACGGCATAGGTGTGCGCAAGTTTTGACGACACGGTCGCCGCCAGTGTCGTTAGTTACCGTGGCAGAATGGACGGTAGTACGGGCTCGCCGTCGGACGTGACGGCGATGGGCAATAGCGAGAACGACGAAAGATCAAAGGTGCAACGGGACGCCGACGACATCGCCGGTGGTGGTTCGTCGGCCGCGTCGTCAGGGACGGCCAGCACCACCACCTCTGCGTATTCCACGGCGACGCAGAGTGACCAGCCATCGGAATATTGCGGTCAAGGCTCGATAAGAGCCAGCTCCGCTTCACCGCTCCCTACGAACTCCTCGTCTTCGTCATCGTCGTTATTGTCGTCGTCCTCGTCGTCCTCCTCTTCCTCCTCTTCCTCCTCCACACCGCCACCGCCACCGCAGCCGGGGTGTGGCTGCGTCGCTGCCACTGTCCTCGAGCCCGACGAAATTACCATCAGCATCACGCCGACCACTGGTGGACAGTTTGACCTCACGGTCGATCGGACGGACACCGTCGAGAACCTCAAGAAGATCATCTCGAAAAGGCTGAAGGTCGCCAAGGAACGTATTTGTTTACTACATCGTGAAAGGTTTGTATATTAAAAGATTATGTATGTATGGTATGTATATGTATGAATCTCTTGTAGGAACCAAGGATGATTAACTTCATTGTAAGAAAGATTTTGCAATTTTAGATTTTACGTGATCAGTGCTTTGTTTCTTAGAAAGTAAATGATCAGGCTTAATCAGAGTCGATTGATTTGGCTTCTGCAAAGGTAGGGGCGTACGCAGAATACGTACGACTTCGTTAACTGTCCGAAAGTCTGTGTTTGATAATTGACCACCACCATGATCACCAGTTCTTGGTCGGCGTGCGGATTCGTTCGACAGAGCTTCGGCGTCATATTGCGTGTCTCTTTTGTTTCTTTCGCGCACCGGGCGAATCCGATATTCCACTGTTTTTATTGTGGGGACGACTGAAAGAAAGAATCTTGAGATATAGGTACGTATCAGGTGTCGCTGTTTTTGTTTCCCTCTCTTTGTTCATTTTACGCCGTATAAACTGGTCCTTTGATAACCGATTCGGTCTCCATACGTGGCCAGTTGCACAAACCAGTGGTTTTGCTATCTTAACTTGCTTGTCGCAAACAATATGTCTGTGATAGAATGGAAATCAGTAATTACACAAAGAATCGTAATCGTGCAAAGAAAATCGCGCGTTTTAAACCGCCGATAAGTCGACAGGACTTGACCAATAATTTGATTTTGAGTGATTTTTCTCAGGGCTGGTTGTCGAAGGGAGAACTTAGCGTAGACAAAATTCACTCATTGGAAAGGAAAAAAAAGAACGGTAGGTGAACGTGTGCATACGAGATATATCATTGGCTGAAAGGTGCGAGAGAAAGAACGAGAACAGCATTGATACTCTGAAAAGAAAAAGAGAGAGTGGGCATAATACTTGTAGGCGTCGTGGGGGCCGCACGGGCTGATCCTCCTCCTTCGTGCAAGCACGCGAGAGAAACATGGTGGAGAGGAAGGTTGGCATACCATAGACCCGAAGTAGGAGGAGGTGGAGGTGGTGTAGTAGGTAGAATATCTCGGGAATCGCGTTCTCGTAAAGTGGAACGGTGACAGCCCTCCGCAGTGAGAGGTAGAGGAAGAAGGAGAAAGAGTCGAATGAAGAAAAGACGAGATAGGGCTGGCTATTCCCGTACACCGTACGCAACACATCACTGGATTTTTCTCCCTTTCCATTTGTCCATCTTCTCTTCTATTTTCTTTTTCTTCTTTTTTTTTTTTTTTTTATTTCACGCACACCCCGATTCCATACAGCAATTATCATTGAACTTTATCTTTGGTTGCATCTTTGACAAAAAGAGTTAAACAGTCTTCGAACAAGTCGGACAAAGCTCCTCAGTGAACGTTGAGGAGCTTATTTAAATTGTTCATGATATTTGAAAGTTTGCGTTTAGTCATCAGTTATCTCCTAAAACGTACGTTTCTAAAATCTTCTTAGACCTTTTCCAATTTCTATCTGTTTCAGTAAGTATTGAAATATCTTCTAAATATTTGATTTTAGTATTTACTTTTTGTGTATTTACCTTTACTCCGTTTTGTGAACAAAGTATTCCAAAGAGAAGATAGATGAAGAGAGAGGAGCAGCAGTATCAAATATAATTGTGTAATCTTATGTAAAAAAAATTGAGCACTTTCAACGGGAGTTTCGCGTTCTTTTCGAGAGTTGCATCGAGGGGAAACGAATGTCCATTACTACTTGTTTTTTTGCGCTGCCAGGAGGCCAGTTTCAGGCGCAGGTAGGCACACGCTGGTTCTTCGCTGCGTATTCAATGTGTGTGCTCTCTCGCCTTGCCCGTCGGTGTAAATGCGACACGTGCGCATGGGAAGCCCGTTCGTCATACGCGTCCTATTTGTCTTCTTTTTCTGTTTCGTTCTACGGCTCCTTGAGCGCATGCGTATCACGTTAAATGCAGAATGGACTGATGATTTTAATTTGCCCCCGAGCGTTGGTGTTATTCTTTTTGCAAAACTGCCAGATTGCAATTATCCGGCGTTGAAAGACTTCTTCCAATAGAAATAAATTCTAGTTCCGTTATTCTGAAAATGTTCTCTTTTAATTTTGTGCTGTACGATCGTCGAAGGCTCATAACTTATAGAAACAAAATTGTTTTTCTGTCGATGGGTATCTCTCTACCTGAAAAGGTTTTTTTCTTTTGATCAACTTGATCAACGACTTGGAAACTAAGACGTAGTATAGTCTAACCTTAACCGCTTTGTGCCATGGTTAAAAATGTGTCATCGAGGGTCTCATACCTCTCACTCGTTCCCATACAGGGAATGAAATAGTTGTCCGTCCAACTATTTTTGTCATGGAATACTATTCATTTAAAAAAATAATTTGCCTTTCCTATAAAAATATATTTTTGTAAAATGGATTTTGTAATTAGTAAGAATAACTGTAATGGATAATGATGTTAGTACAAGTGGATTTTCCTTCATGACCTTAGATGTGACCAAGGAGAAGACAATATTTATCATTTTAGTGACAAGAATGTTTCTCAGTGTTATCACACTTTGCGTATTTATGCTTGCTCGGAATCAACCTTACCATAATTTATTCGTATCGTTTTTGTGCACTTCGTACCTCTTTCTTACTTAATTTCGTTTTAAATCGTACCCAGTGGGTATATCTATAAATATTGCATTTGTCGTCATGATGAATTGTAACTTAACCTTCTTCCAAATGAGTCATTTGTTTCTGTTTTTCGTCGGCTGAGGAACTGATAAGTATCCCAGAAGACGCGTCTATACACGCTCATTGATCCAAATGTGTCGCACGATTCAGTGGCGATCGTTAGAATTAAAAATCCAAGAGGCTTACTAACCTGATTTTCACGAAAGGACAAGGTTAGGTTTTGTTAATAGGAATGTTCTTCGAAGAACTTATTAAAGGTGGTTGCAGAAACGTACAAAGGTCAAAGACTCGATTGTACCAGGATCTTCAGAAAAACCGTTAAACCCGTTGGACTGCTGCGCAAGTGGCGCCAGGGTCGTGAAGATCCGCCACCCTCGCGTTTCTGCTTTCAGTGCTGATCAATTCGGTCTTCGTCCTAAATCAGTTTATTGGTAAGAAATTACTCAAAAACACATACCAGGGCCGTTTTCTTTTATGTAACATTGTTATCAGCAAAATTTTGCCTATCACAACTATCAAGATTATAATTTTTTTAAATTGCTTTGGTTCGCTTTAACCCTCTATAGGCTGAATGTTTTTCTTGACTGTAAAAAAATTTATGTAACGTACAATCAACAAATATCAACCTATACTACAGATTAACAATGAGTTCAGCATTTTTTCAAAAATTTTATTATAACGAATAATAAAACTGACATTTAAGGATAGAAGTGATAACTGTTATTAAGAATGTTGTACTGGTTAATAAGGCGACATTGTATAACAAGACGTATACGCCATCTTGTGGAAAAAAGTTCAATTATTTAATAAAATATCGATATATTATTATGCGACTTGAAAGTAACACGGGTCTATAGAGGGTTAAATTTCGTTTCTCTGTCGAAATAATTGACGGCAAGAGTTCCTCGCTGAAGGTGATGCCGGACACGAATTCGCGGAATGTATATGCATTTCAAAACCGAGGTCGATTATACGAACGCTGACGAAGGAATGTATTTTTGCAATCGTTCCGGCTAGTTAATACTTTCGAGCGTATGCACGGTTCGCCATGTTGCGATGATAATAAGGAACGTTGCTCGAAAACACATCTTGCGATCAATTTATCTTGCTTTTATTAGAGGAAGTTGTAGCTAATAAATTTCAATCGGGCGTTACCCCGACGTTGTATAATCTCCGGGTGTCGCTTGCGGACGTAACAATGGCGTGATGATCGACCTGGTCCTCGTCACATGCCTCGAATCTGTCTTATTCTCATCTGTAAATGAAACTATGTTATAAATTAATCTCAATTCAATTGAATAAGAAAAAATGTAAATATAATAACACGTATGCGCCATAACCTATGTTTTAATGAATGAACAAGGTAACATTGAAGATCTATTTATATCTTTCCTTATGATATCTTATCATTAGTTAAGAATAGTTATATTAGTTAAGAAGCGAATAATCGACAGGGAATGCAAGAATGAGAATCAAATCTTTTCGTGTAGGACGATTAAATTCGCGTTTCAAATGTCCACATACTTTTAATAGTGGTCAATTTTCAAAACCTAACCTAAAGTGTTGAAGTTTTACATTCCCGCGAACAAGATTTTCAGTTGAAAAAATTCTATTTTTGATGCATTTTGAAATGTAAAGTAACCTCCTAGCTTTTTGTTTACTCAATTGAAATTTATCGAAAGATGATTTCCCTCTCCTGTCGATTGGCTCCTCTGTCGATTATTGATAATACCTACAATATCTACAGTTGCAAAGTATAGAGTGGGCCAAAAGTTTTTTCTTTTTCTTCTTCTTTAATAAAACATCAAAATATAAGAAAAAACTAATTTTATTAATTTTAAATTAAATTTAAGTTCGAACATGATTTTCTTATTGCGTTTAAAAAATTATTCAAAAAATTATCTTTCAAACATTGACCGCCATGTATAATAAAAACGAATATTTAGATTAATTTTAGGAAGTGATTTTTGGCCCGTCCTGCACAGCTGTGAAATTGCACGTAGAAAACATGATTGTAAAAACGTTTCAACTGTGATTGTGAGGAATAACTGAAGGAGTAAACATTCTACGAAAGAAGTTGCACAATGATTCTCGCGACATTACGAGTCGATATCGCGGTTCTCCGTAACCGCGGTTTTTTTTGCGTTATTTGAGACTTCGTTCGATGCCTGTGTGTCGTCGTTGCGATAGTGTGTGTGACTTATCGCATTGTCTACTAATCTCTTTGGATCGTGCCGCTCTTATCGTTATTTTCTCTCTAATTTTCAGCGTCATGGCTACGCAACAAGGTTCCTCCCCGTCACACCGAGGTTACCGATGCATTGACTCTAACAATTTATTATACACGCTGTAATTTAAAGCCACCAGATTATCATAATCAATTGCATATTCGCTTATTCGTGGATTATGTGTTAAAAATAGACCGCCGGGTTTCTATTGTGCGACGTGTAATTACGCCACGTACGTGTAATCTTCTTACATGTGCTTGGCGCGATAAGGGGTAACGCCGTGTTCAAATTAGTTCCAATTATCGCGAAACGATATTCATGAGAACGCGTTTTTCGTAATCTCGTAAAAGAGAATTTAACTGAGAATTTTGTGTATTCCAGGCAATTACGCGAGGGCACGCTGGAGGAAAATCGTTTACAAGATGGCAGTAGGCTCACGTTGCTGCCGAGCGTGGAAACCGGCCTATTGGTGAGTCAGTTGCTTGTTCCTGACAATGAAATATCCCAATGACAAGACACAGCCGTGGAGATCTGCTTGTTGTTACTCAATCGCGTAAATTCAACCTCTCCTTTTTCTAGCAGAAGGTATAGTTGCGATTTCGTAGGGAGAAATCGCTAATAAAACGTGGTTCGTGTGCGAGACAAATTGAATATTAATCGATAAAATGATTAATCATCGACGGGAAAGTAAGTTTTTATCGTGTCGTCGGATTTTGCGGAATTCAAAACTCTTGAGACACGCTTATTTTTATTATTTTTTTTTTCCACTTTGCAAAGCATTCACGGAAGAGGAGATCGCAAAAAGCATGCAAGAGAATCGCGATCCGGATAAACGCCGTTAACTCAGTTCGTGTATCATTGGGTCACTTGGTTTCTCGGTCACCGTATCGTCGGTACTTTATTTTTCCAGCGCTATTGCATCACAGTTTTCTTTGTTTCCTGTGCATCGTCCTGTTTGAGGTATCTCACACTGGCCAACACCAAAAATCTCTTCCAGTTAGTCTCCATCTCTCATCAAGTAAAACATAACCTCTATTTCTATTTTGTTGCAATTTATCCTTCAGTTTGATCCTTTGACTTCCAATCCAATGTACTTTAAACTTTAAATTTCCACGTGATTAATTGTACATTTATCTTACAGTTCCACATTTCCGTACCCAGCATCCCATGAA